ACGGCTCTGGCTCTTGTATGGAGAATGGGCTCTAGTAAAAATAGAAGCAGAGCGACCCGGGAGGAGGCTGCAGCTGAGAGCACAGAGCTTGGTTTAATCAAGTGCGACGGGAAAGCACACTGTAAATTATAATGTAGTGTGGAAATATTAGCAGCCGTTACAATACTAGTTCTTTCTGACTTGAGTATTCATGTGTGTGAGTATTCACGTGGTTCAAAAATGCACACAAATACAAACAGTTCTAACATGAGCTTGACAGGGGAGGGGATTAGCCTGAAATTTGTAGATGAAAGGTTCAAATCCTGATCTCCTTTATTAACTGGTGGCCTTGGTCAAGCGATTTTTCCCCTTCTCCTCATTTTTCTTACTGTAAAGTAGAATAATAAGACTATATCCCTCATAAACACGTTGTGAAGCTTCAATGGGATAATCTGTGGACAGAACTGAGCCCAGTACCTCTTGGCCCCCAAATCAGTGTTCAATCATGTTAGCTACTTACTATTAATCTCTCTGATCTTCAAGTTTGTCAATAAAAGTTCGTAAAAACTTTGTACAGTTATAATGGGATAAAGTATGAAAAGCCCTAGCCCAACCATATATGGCACCCACTCAGAGTTCAGTACAGAGGAGTGTCTAAATGAACAGAATATCAAAGCTGGAGTCACTGCTGATGTCACTATGACCAATGTTAGAGTAATGAAGACAGAAAATGTTTCACATTTTATAGGTCAGATTTACAATTACACTCCTAGGATATAAAAGAATATCTTCTCTAGAAAATTACATGCACTCCAATGGCTTAACGCTTTAATATGCTATCCTCCCCCCACAAAAATAAAGGCCCTTCACCCCCATCAGAATCAGGATTGTCACTATGCGTCTGCATGGACAGAAAACATAAACGTTGCAGAAACTTCCGTTTTCAGTTAGTGTCCGCTACTTCCCCGTGTTTCTGCTGCTAAATTCAAAATCTGTAATTATCACCAAGGGTGGAAACCAAAGCGAGATGAAAATGATTGCTTCAAAGTTGAGCAGAGAGACTGGAGAAGATAGCCTTAATCATTGAATTTCATATCCAATTCAGTTAAATGAAAAGACACTCCCTAGTAAGTGGCCCCAAATTCCAGAAAACAAGGATTATGTCTCTATTCTTTAGATGATTGACACAGCGCCTTAACCCAGTGAGGGAACTCATTGCGAGTGGATGGGTAAACGAATACATATTCGTATAGGGTGTCGACTGAGACCACTACCCAACTTGTCTGCCTCCTTGCTGCTTCTTCAGAGTCCTGCTGCAGACTAAATGTTTGTGTCCTTCCCACATTCCTATGTTGAAACCTAACCCCCAATGTGACAGTGTTTGGAGGTGGGGCCTTTGGGAGGTGAACAGGGATCACTGCCCTTATAAAAGAGATCCCGGAGAGGTCCCTCGTCCCTTTTCTGCCACGTGAGGACACAGCAAAAAGGGAGCTTCTCACCAGACACCAAAAGTGCCAGAGCCCTGATCTTGGACTTCCCAGCGTCCAGAACTGGCAGAAATAAATATGTGTTGTTTATAAGCCACCCAGCCTATGTTATTTCTGTTGTAGCAGCCTGAATGAACCAAGACAAGCCCCTCCCTGTGGCCACCTGCCACACCCCAAGAGTTGAATCTGTGTTCCCTTGATAGTCCGCCTGCAGGAGGTGTACAGGTCAATAATCAATAAAGAAGAGTAGTTCATAAACCATCTCACAGCTACACATCCCTCAAATAATAATTCCTAACATGGGCGTGTGTCAGAATCAACCAGGCAGTTTTTCTAAGTACCCAAGGACAGGCCCCAGCCCAGATGTATTGATTTCCAAGTCCTAGATGATTCTGATGCATATCTCTGGTCTCGAACTATTATTTTAGAATCTCCAAGGTTGCCAGGGAGATGAAAATAGCACCTGGTATGTGTGCCAAAACCTCTCCCGCATCCTTGGCAAATATCACTAGTTGGTTACTACACTCTTACTCACTGAGCCTATGCACAGTCAAAATCCTTTCTTTAAAAAAGCCTTTTTAAAAAAAAATTATGGTAAAATATACATGATATAAAATTTACCATTTTAAGCATTTGGAAGTGTACAGTTCAGAGGCATTCAGTACATTCACACTGTTGTGCAACTATCCTCATCATCCATCCTCAGAACCTTCTCATCTTCCCCAACTGAAGCCCACTGAACACTAACTCCCCATTTTCCCTCTGCCCAGCCCCCGGCAACCACCATCTACTTTCCTTTCTATGAGTTCAACACGTTTAGGTGCCTCATGCAAGTGGAATCATACAGTAATTGTCCTTTTGTGACTGGCTTATTTCACTTAGCATCATGTCTTCGAGGTTTATCCATGTTGTAGCATGTGTCAGAAGTTCCTTCCTTTTTAAGGCTGAATAATATTCCACTGTACGTACACACTATATTTTGTTTATCCATTTAGCCACTGATGGACACTCGAGTTGTTTCCCTTTTTGACTGATGTGAATAATGCTGCCCAGAACTTGGATGCACAAATATCTGTTCGAGCCTCTGCTTTCACCTCTTTTGGGTATATATCCAGAAGCAGCATTGCTAGATATAATAATTTTATGTTTAAGTTTTTGAAGAACTGCCATACTATTTTCCACAGAGGTTGCACCATTTTACATTCCCACCAGCAAGGTATAAGGGTTTCAATGTCTCCACATCCTCACCCACACTTGTTATTTTCTGCTTTTTTTGATAGTAGCCACTCTGATGTGTGTGTCAGAATCCTTAACAGAGCACTTTAGGCAGCCATTATCAACTGATTATAGTCAACAAATGAGATGAAAGCAATTTGTTATTTCTAAACTGTGATCATGAGACATCTACACTTTTCTTTTCTTTTTTTTTAAAGATTGGCACCTGAGCTAACATCCGTTGCCAATCTTTCTTCTTCTTCTCCCCAAAGCCCCCCAGTACATAGCTGTAAATTCTTGTTGTAGGTCCTTCTGGCTGTGCTCTGTGGGACGCCACCTCAGCATGGCTCGATGAGCAGTGTCATGTCTGCGCCCAGGGTTCCGAACTGGTGAAGTCCTGGGCTGCCGAAGTGGAGTGCGTGAACTTAACCACTCCACCACAGGACCAGCCCCATCTACACTTTTCAAAGTGAAATGACTGTCGGATTTGCTAGATGGCAACGGTCACAATGTTATTAGGTTGTAGACATGGCCCACTGTTTGAAACGGGGGTCGGGGGGTGGGAGTAGAAAGGACACCAGGGCCATCAGTATGCAAAATGGCGAAGTGATGGAGGTGAGGCCTGTGAGAGGCCCTGCATAAACAGCACTGGGAGAAGTCCAAGATCAGTCCCAGGCAAACCACCAAGTCCCAGAACCAGGGGAATGGGGGGTGAGGGCTGTCCTCTTTCCTGGCTTAACTGGTAATGAGATTTCTTTTCCTTTTCTTTATTCTGTTTTCTCTCCTCTACTCTTTACTTCTCTATTGCCTAGCCAAGCTTTGAAAAATCCATGTTTTGTATAAAAGGGGGCAATGGAACATAGGTACACTGAATGTACATTTGTTTGCATGTGGATGGAATATCTCCGGGAGTATACACATAAGCTGAGTACTGTGGTTGTCTGTGAGAGCGGGATTGGGAATACAGGAGACAGGGTGGGAGAAGATTTTTCTTTTTTATATATCCTCTTCTATGTTTTTATTAAATTTTCAACTGTGGAAATATATTCTATTATCTTTCCAGTGTGCATTCCTGAGCATGAGAGATCAGAAAGTTCCAACTCCTTCCCAGATTCCCTTGAAGCAGGGGATCAATAATAAGCTTTTGCCAACTGGATGTACTTTCATGAGATGTAGAGTGGAAGATGAAAGTGGGTGAATGCCATCTTCCTGCTGCTTTGGGCTGTGGCTGCTGGCAAGCAAGGCCATGGGTGTTGAAAGGGAAGTGTGGTGTAGGTGGCGGCAGCTGGACACTTGGTTCCAGTACCCAGTTACCAGCTTCCTGGGTGCTGCTATGAGGCAGTTATGGTGGTAACAGTTACCTCCTAATGCTACTTGCTGATCCCTGGATCGCAGCTAAGTAGTGTTTTTGACCTCAACAGCTCCTGACTCCCTGAATTCCTGCAGAAGGCAGAGGTTGCAGCTCCCCTGGCAGCTGAGTACTAGAGGTTGCTGGGGTGTTCTAGAAGTCATTCCCGGAGACTCAACAGGAGTTCCCTCCCCTCCTCTTTCCAAAAGATTCTGCAAGCATTCAGTTTCTTATTATTCCATTCTGCTTAAAATACCTATTGTGGTTTCTATTTCCTGCAATGCAATTGAAATGGAATATGAAATTACATATTAAAAATTTAAATAAAAATAAGAAACGAAAGTCAATACTAAGAAAAAATTTAATTCTCAAAAAAGATTTCTTGAGCAGTGTGCCACCAAAGATGCTTCGTCTTTACTTTTTAAAAACTTCTTACTATCTCGGTAAATCATCAACTATTTAATGAGTACCTATTGGCTTAAGAGATGAGATAATTTAACACTTATCCTGTCAGATTAGAAATAAATGCCTATGTGAATACGTGAGAATCTTTGTGTGTGTACGTGTTAAGGAGACAAGACACAGTTTGTGTTTCTAATAAAATCCTAGGAGTAGAAGACAAATTCAAACATTCTGGTTGTTTTTATTTAACTCAAAATAGCTAATAACAAAAACATTTAAAAAATATCTGCAACACTTGACTATGCCGTTATTTTTGGTTGATGACACTTGATTATTTAGTTCTTGCTTGTTTCAACATGTAGGAACATATCTATCATAAACAGATCTCTAAAAGTTTGCAGCAGGCTTTAAACCCGTATATTTAGATCCTAATCAAAAACCATGATTTAGTTATTAGTTTTGAATCTAAATATTTTTCTCCCACACAGAAGCTTATTAAAACTAATAACCATAAATAGGCTACCTATTAATTAGTTTTCAATGAAATGCCCAAATACAGCACACACATACAGGTTGCAAATATGCTTTTAGCCTTTACTACTCAAAATATGAATGTCCATAAGATGTACAGAGGAGTTACATCATAAACACATTTCACTTACATCAATTCAATATATGAGGTCAGTGAAAAGGAAAACAAGAGTAAATCCTGTGGCAATACCACCTATTCAATGAATGGACGCCCTTGAGTAAACCAAGATGAGTGTTGTCAATCTGGTGTTCCCTCAGTCACTGTCAGTTCCCATCTGTCTCTTACAGGGCAAGCATCTTACAGGGCTAAGTGTGATTCTAGTGTTTAAAGGTATATGTTTTTCACAAAATCGCCCGTAACCAAACGCCAACAACTTCAATTGGTCTTCAACCAAAGAAACAGTCATTTCTTCCAATACTGGAGGAAGAACTGGTTGTGGTGGATGGACAGATCTCCAATATGGCGCCTTTCTAAACAGCTGTCAAGGCTAATCTTGAGACCTGATTTTATCCTATGTATTGACATTAGAAGCTAACCCCTGGTTATGATGCAACTCTGCTGTAATGTAAATAAAAATGCCATGATTTAAAAAACGCCCTAACATTATCAGTATAATTTAATTTCCAGTTTAGTTCCCTCCTCACATTTAGCACAGTGTGTTTCTATGATACGCCTCTGGTGCCAGCACTTCAGAATGTATCTATCACCGGCTGAGAAAAATCTCACGTTGAAAAGATTAGTGTGCTATGAAATCTGAACCAGGAAGCTCCCAAAGTTGATCAGTCTCAGTATGATTCAGGATAAGATTTTCAATTAGCAAATGGTGCAACTGCAGCAGACAGCAACTTTGTTTTGTTACACGTGGTTCTCCCAGGGATCTTCCAGAACCTTCTGTTTTTGGGTTTCTAAATTGGCAGCTACGTTGTTCTTCTTAAACACTTGGCCTCAGCACCACCCTGGTTCAGTTTCTATTTTTAGAAGCACCACTCTAACGGAAACATCCCTGCCCTGAATTAAGCTGGGACTGTGATGTGACCACTAGCTAGAGCTGTTATGTCATACAGTTTAGGTTAATTTGGTAGCTATCGATTTCCTTGACTATGACTTCCGAACTTGCTGCAGCTTCTTCTCGCCGCGTAGGATTCCTACCTGGGCTGTAGATGAGGGTAAAATATCCCATGGAGAACTCCTTCAATAACCACATTTGGAAAATCTGAAAAACAAAAGGAAAACTGCTCTCCTTATGCACATCGATAAATTTGAATTGCAGTTTGTAGACTCTAACGAGGCAGGTCCTGGGATAACGTCGGAATCTGCCTCGCCAGGCAGTTTGCCCTGGTTCCTGCTATCAGTCATGCCGCTGCAGCCCACAGCCGCTGGAGCGCACCGCCAGGCGCTGCAGGACTGCGCGGCCAGATTTGTAGCTTATTGATTTAAGGGATGTTCTCATGGTTAATGCTGCCGGGCCCCAGCTCTTTATCTGAATGTTTTCTCACAAGGAAGATGGATTACACTGGCAATTCAATTTCTAACAAAATCTCAATATACTTGAAGGAATTCCAAGATTTCTACTGGGAATACTTTGCTGCAGTTTTTCCATTGTGGTTTACAGCAGCGCTTCGTCCAAGTTGTCCTGAGTATGCGTGTGCTATTACACCAGCTTCTGGAGAGCAGTTAGATGGGGCCTGTCTTCCTAACTTAAAAGGGCAAATTTCCGACAAAAGCCATCCTGTCAAACTTGAAAAATCAGCTACATTTTTATAGGAGATACCAAGGGAGCCCAGAGGAGCACAGTATGTTGTACCATGTTCCAGTCAGCAGAGCAGGGAAAATACGGTTGCTTGAACAGAGGGACAAATCCATGCCATGGTTCAGAAGTTTAATTCCTAAACTTCGATCTGCACATAATTATATCCAGGATTTATGCTAAAGACAACCACTTTAAGCAAATATAGTTATTGTACAAGGAAATTAAGTAGTCCAATATTTTTAGACAAAACATAATAAATGCATTCATTTACTATCCAACCTCTATAGAGTATCCACTACGTAAAACCACTTACAAGGGGACTGGAGTCATCAGGGGGGGCAGACAGGCTCTCTGAGGACACACGAGGGAGCTAACCAGGTGGAAAGTGTGCAGCAGCAGGGAGCCTGGAGGGGGCTTCAAAGACCTAGACGGAGGCGAGTGTAGCAAGAGGAGCTGCGAGGAGGCCTGGGGCAGGGGCCAATTCAAGCCAGGAAAGAATGGACAGGAATTCTGGCTTTATCTAAAAAGCAATGAGAAGCTATTGAAGGATTTTTAAGAGTGAGAGAGAATTGAATTGTGTTTTGAAAAGATGACTCTGGCTGCCATTCCGAGAGCAGACTGGAACAAGTCCAGAGTGGTGATGGATTCGACGTGACTAGGGAGGGATTTCATAATAGTACCTACCTGACAGGTTGTCGTAAAAATTGATGAGTGAGACAAAATGCTTCGACCTAAGCTTGGCACACGGTAAGTACCAGCTATTATTACGTACCAAGTACTCTCTAATTACTGGGATTATAAGTAAATAACAGTTCCCACCCAGGCCATGGAACTTACATGCTAGTCATGGAGACAAGCAAATGAATAAACAAACAAAATAGGTGGGTCTTTTTTGTTTTTTTTTGCTGAGGAAGATTGCTTGTGAGCTAACATCTGTTGCCAATCTTCCTTCATTTTTTATGTGGGATGCTGTCACAGAGTGGCTTAATGAGCGGTATGTAGGTCTGCACTTGGGATCTGAACCCATGAACCCCAGGCGTCCGAAGCGGAGCGTGAAAACTTAACCACTATGTCACTGGGCTGGCTGCCAAAACATGTTTTTTGTTTTATTTTAAAGATTGGCACCTGAGCTAACAACTGTTGCCAATCTTTTTTTTTTTTCTGCTTTTTCTCCCCAAATCACCCCAGTACATAGTTGCATATTTTAGCTGTGGGTCTTTCTAGTTGTGGCATGTGGGATGCCACTTCAGGGTGACCTGATGAGCAGTGCCATGTCCGTGCCCAGGATCCGAACTTGCAAAACCCTGGGCCGCTGAAGCAGAGCGTGCAAATCCAACCACTTGGCCACGGGACCGGCCCTCAAAATATGTTTTAAAAATATCTCTAATACATGAGTGTTCACTTACTTTTGGTTGATGACACTTGAATTTCCTAGTGTTTGCTTTAATCCAACATTTAGTAACGTAATTTTTCATAAAACATTATCTTTAAAAGTTTGCAATAGGTCTTAAACCTGTATATTTAGATCCCAAACAAAAGCAATGATTTAGCTAAGTTAATTTTAATTCTAAATGAATTTCTCCCACAGAGAAGTGCACTGAAACCAATAGCCATAAATGGAGCTGTTGATTAATTTTTAGTAAAATGCCCAAACATTACATGCATTAGCATATATGCATTTTTCCTTTGCCACCTAAAATACAAAAGTCTATCTGAAGGTTAATGAAAGTACATCATAAACATATTTAGCTTAAATGGATTCAAATAGGTAAGTTCAGCAAAAACGGACAAAAAAGCAAAATAACATTAAATATTTTGGGTAATTCTACAGCACAATTATAGGTCAAGCAGTGACTTCAGGGCAAGGTAAAATATAAAACTGGGCATGGGGCCAGAGGGTGAAAGGGGACAGGAAGGCGAGGCGGAAGACCCTTCTGTGAAGGCATCATTGGAACGAAGTGGCATAGCAGCCAGCTATGAGGGAGTCCGGGTGAAAGGCATTCCCGGTGGAGGGAAGAGCCCACGCCAAGGCCCGGTATTTATTGTCCAGCAAATGCTGAGCAGATGCTGGATGCTGGAGATTTAGATGGTGAATATGACAGAAAGAGAGACAAAAAAGGGAACAAAGTTTGTGATCATGACTATGAAAGAAGCAAATAGGGTGCTCTGATTCGAGTGAATGGGACAGACGTATTTTATAACAAGGTCCACCAACCAGTGACCAATGCTGAGACAATCAGAGGTCATTTTTTTTTCTCATCAGTCCCATTCCAAATGGAGTATGTATGACTTGGCTTCACCATAGGTATGATTTAATACAATGTCCATTATTGCTTGAATTACTCAGAAAACTTCCCTTGCCTTTGTTTTCCACTGAGAGTTGATGAGAGGGAAAGTGATTTAGGATAGGTTTTGCTGTTATTGTCATTTATTTTATAAACACTTACTGTGAACCTTTAAAAAAAATGGTGAATGGGGTGGAGGGACTCTGAGAGGCTTCCTGAGGGCAGTCGGCAAAGGCTCTCTGAAGTTGCAGCTGAAAGAGCCAGCAATGCAACTGTTTCTTGAACAAGAAGAGGGTTCAAGGAGGAAGAAACAGCGAGTGCCCTGATGGGGACAGGAGTTCAGCACACGTGAGGCCCAGAAACAATTCCAGTGTGGCTGCAGCAGTGTGTGAGGGGGTCCCAGTAGAAACACGAGCCAGGGCCAGACCACAGAGGGCCCTGTAAGCCATGTAAGGGCCTGGAGCTCACAGAGACAGTTGGGGAGGAAATACAATATTGTGACTCAGCTGTATACACAAGGTAACCAAGGTCACAAGCAAGGAGAAGATTATTCAAAAGAAAGTGTAATGAGAAGAGGGGATAGTCTATGACAGCCTTCGGGTAAACTGCCAGAGATTGGAAGTACAGTAGAACAGGGGAAAAGCCAAGACAAGACAGTATTTGAAGGAGGAGAAAGTGGTCAACAGTGGCTAAGGCTGATGTGAGGTCAAGTAAGAGGAGGACTGGAAAATGTCCGTAGAGTTTAGCCACTCTGCAGTCACTGGGCACCTGGGCAAGAGCTGTTCTGAATTTCCCAGAAAAATCAAACCAAAGGCCAAAAAGCATACACTAAGAGAATAACGTTGGATTATTAGCATTTAATAAGAAGATAGTGTTTAACTGTCAGAACTTTAAAGACAAACACTCCTCTACTTTTGTCGGTGCCCCTATACTTGTGAAGATATTTCCATATTCAGTATCCTCTGGAATAGTAACCTCAACATTTTGTTAAGAAATCTAATAACACAAAAATGTGATGCAAGTAAAATTTATCTTTAAATTAAATACAAAAGATTTGCAAGAATATACCACCTGGATAATACTTCTAAGACAATAAGAATCTGATTTATGAAATTGGGTTGGCCAAAATTCCAGGAAGACAGATCTAGTGACCGGGTCTCCAGTACCTGGTTCCATGCTGTCCATCAAACCCATGATTTTCATTTACTCTCAAGCAGGAGTCCCCTTTTTGTGCAAGTCATTTATCCACACCAACATTCTACCAATGGTACATACTTATTAATCTTTCTAGCTCCAGACATTCACCCCGATGAAAGAACCCAGAAAGCTTCTCCTGTTCTTCATTGCCAAGCCAGGTGCATAGCACATGCTGCTTAAAAAGCTAGATGAATAGGATTTAAGGATCATAAAACACCTTTCTTCTTCTACAAAGCATCCTGGCTATTCTAGTCCACAGCGATCATCCCACTCTCTGTACTTCTGTAGGAATTTCAGTCAAATGCATGAACTATTTGAGCACAAACAATACCTGGAAAAAGTACTTGTGGAACCATTTTTAAAAGATATTAAGAATACTTTAGGGCCGACCCCGTGGCCTAGCAGTTAAGTTCAGGGCACTCTGCTTCAGCAGCCCAGGTTTGTTCGGTTTCTGGGCACAGACCTACACCACTCGTTGGTGGACATGCTTCGGTGGTGTTCTTCATACAAAATAGAGGAAGGCTGGCACAGATGTTAGCTGAGGGTGAATCTTCCTGAAGCAAAAAAGAGGAAGAGTGGCAACAGACGTTAACTCAGGGAACATCCTCTTCAGCAAAAAAAAAAAAAAAAGAAAAAAGAAAAAGAATACTTTATAAAACATTAGCCATTTAATCTAGACTAGGCTACATCATGAATATTTTTAAATGTAACATTTTCTTAACATAGTATCAACTATTATAACATGTGCATTTGTTAAACATGGGAAGAAAATGCTAATGACAGGAATTATTCCTCACTGAAAGGATTCTACAGGAAAAATACTATAAGACCATATTCGAAGGCAGCTGTCTCTGATCAGGGTGCTAGGAATGGTCCCTCAACGGAGCTGGGCTGCATCCTGGCCAGCCTTCCTTAAACTGACAGGTAAGTGGGTGATCAGAGTACACGCATCCCTGCTACAGAGAACAGCCCCTCTCTCTTGCTGGTCATAAGGCTTTATTGTCAGAATGTAAGAATGATTTCAACAGATAATTTACCTATTGCTATTTAGTTGCTATCTACTTAGTTACTTTCAGAGACAAAGGCTGAAAATTCACTACAGCCATGTGCTGAATAATGACAGTTCGGACAACGATGGACCACATATATGACAGAGGTCCCATAAAATCACTACCACACAGGCTAGGTATGTAGTAGGCTCTACCATCTAGGTTTGTCTAAGTACGTTCTATGATGTTCGCACAATAACAAAACTGCCTAAAGACACACTTCTTAGAATGTATCCCGTTGTTAAGTGATGCATGACTGTATACGCCAAGAGCACAGAAGGAGAAATTAGGCAACCAGGGTCCACCCATCAGCATGTGAGACTGGGCAAATCAGGACCTCCCTGGGCTCCAATTTTCTCATTAGCCACTGATGATACCTGCTCCGCCTATTTCATAGGTTGTTAAGGAAATTAAATGAGATAATATTGGAGAATGTACTTATGAAGAGCTGCATAACAGAACACTGTGAGAGGGGACACATTAATTTAAATTTCTTGGCACAAAGAAAGGACTCAGGCTAAAATATTGGTTACATTTATACTTAAATTAATTCACTGCATTTAAATAGACTACTTTTAAAAATATATATTCACCATCAAAGATGCTATAATCTAAATGGAAATGGGGGTACACATGCAATGCACATACACAGCTTTGGGGAAGAAGCATTTTAAAAAATGCCAGAGCCTCGGATTCAAACCCTCGTATCTGGATAAAAACAAGCAGAGGGCAAAATAACTGCTAAAAAAGATTAAAGACAATAAATATCTTTCCTCCTTATTACTCTAATTCAAAATAGCCTGGCAAGAGAGAAAGAAAAATTACATTTCCTCCTGAAAGGCCTGCCCCAATTAAAATTCTGAATGTCTCTTACACCAAGAGCACTGGTTTATTGGCAGATTATTAAGCCCTGGACCAATGTCACTCTGTTAGACCTGTATTAAAAACGCGGTTTATGTGGTGCAGGGTCAGATCAGTAAAGAGCTGTTAGCAGATGACAGGTTTGATTACCGCTGGCTGCAGGCAAGACGTATGGATCCCTGAGGAACAGCAGAACCGGCTGGTGGGACAGTTTGCTGGAAAGGTCAAGAACAGGCATGTCAGCATCAGGGGACGACGGTAAACAGAAAACACTACAAACTAGCTTTGAGGGGATCAAACTGCTGTGCAGGGACATCTCAAGGTTTACGCATCTAACGGTGCGGGTGAATAATAGCAAGCAGAGATGGAGGGACAAACCAGCACCGCGCTCATCTTCCAAACATTTCTTTGTGGAAGTTGAAGCAAACGTACAATCTATATAATAAATCACTGCTGAAAAGTGCTGTTGTTTTGTAAATCTTGCAGTATGATGATTGATAAAACAACATCCTTATTACTTGTATGAAACTATAGAGGACTCTTCTTTCTTCTCTCCTAGATGTAACTGGTTACTTCTGGAACTTCCGATCAAATATTTATAATCTTAAAATCAATTTCCTAATGAAGGTTTTCAAGAAAAGCATGACCTGAAACATTTATTCCACAGTAATTAAACAGTTAACACAGCCAGAGTCCTAGTCCTGGTTTGTACAATGCCTGATGGACCAGTATTAGTTCTTACCTTGACTCTTCGGATTCTGTCTCATCAAAAGATCTAAAAATTTTTAAAGAAAAAGAAAAAGACCACATAAGTTGAGTCAATGTTTATGCCAACAAAGGGAAAAACAGCCAGTATTCTTACAGCTCCAAATGGGAGAGATTTTGAAAAGAGAATCAGGTGTTTTCACAGAGTCACAGCATGGCTGATGCCTCATTCTAAAGAATCTTAACACTGCAATATGCCTGAATTGCAATTTTCCTGAAGATCACTTCAAAATCCTATGGTTTCACTTTTGGGCTTATATAATGGAGAAAAGATTTCACTCACTGTTATTCCCAACATCTCTTCTTAAAAATACACAACCAAATATGAAGCTCGACCTCCCAGTAAATGCACACAAGTTGGAACAGGACACACTGACAACGCATATTCTGTGGTGAGCTGTATAATTTGTGCTCTGGGGTGAGTGGAAAGGGGTCCTAAGTAAACACTGCCGGTGAGAGCTGTGTGACAGGTGTTTGCAGCTTCTCATCCAGCAGACGGAAGGGGTTTAACAGGACTTTGGGTGTGGTTAGCTCAAACGTCTTGTAGTCAGTGTGGTCCTTCAGGCAGGTTTGGAGGCAGCAAGAGAATGGATAAAAGCCTCTGCCCTGCTTGGATTTGCAGAGAGTTTGTGAAGACGTGTTTCTCTGCAAGTGGATGCAATGTGTCAGGGATGTTGCTGAGCCTTCGGAGGCCAGTCCAACACAAGTCAAGCTCCCCAGAGCTGGGAGAGTGGCTTATTTCAGAGTTAATTCTTCAGAACTTCTCCTAATTGCTGAGGATATCGAAGGTCTGGTTCCTGGTAGACAGAGATTAGGATCTGCAGCCCCACATTCAGAAGTTCCTCAGGGAGAGACAGCAGGACAGTGGGGAAAGAGCTTACGCCGGAAGGCCTGGGCTCTGCCAGCTACAAGGCAAGAGATCTTGGGAAAGGCACTTAATTCCTGTGTCTGTTTGCTCAACTCTAAAATAAAGGGATTTGGGTAAAATCATCTCTAAGGTAATTTACAGCTTTAAAATTATATAAATATATCTGCCAAGGGGATATAGACTTTAATCAAGTATCCACAAATAAATAAGTCTCTAAACAGGCTATCTTAGATTCATAATTCCCATCATGTAATATCACTCCATGTAACAGCATAATTTAAAAAGTCAATTCCTTAAGTCTAAACCTGAGTTACTGAGCCTTGGCCATTTGGCAGTAATATTGGGATGAGGACTTAGGAGGAATTCCTCTGACTACAAGCAGGGGGCGAGCGCGTGCTGTCCCAAGCCAAAAGAATGGGCGTGGCTAGGCTGGCCCTTCTGGCACCACTTGGGCTATTTCTTATGGCAGTAAGTGGTTGGAGAATAACTTAAAATCCATGTCCAATACATAAACAACAATTCTTACCCACAACTCTCTGCCTTTGGTAAAGGGGGCAAGTGTCGCACATTTAGGAAATCAAGAAACAGTTTGGGAAGTTCTTCATTTTCTAAAATGACAGCCTGTGAAAGTAGAAAACAGAATAGAAAGGGAAGTTTGCTAGGCAATCAATCAAATGAACTATTTCAAAAAGTCATAACCATCCATCAAAGTTCTTACCAGCATCATTCCTCACAATCAACATGAGGAGTGGTCCCCATTTTACCCACCAAGAATTCAGGCTGGCACAAACGCTATTCAGTGTCAGCAAATGCTCCATTTTATCTATTCTTTCACCAACCAGCATTTACGGAGCATCTACTATACTTCAGATGCTGACTAGAGAGCAAGAGAGTGGAGTACCAGGTAGACATAGTTCCTGCCTTCATGGTGATTCTAATCCAGAGTATTTAAAAACCCTGGGAACATCAATAATACTGCTAAGATATGTACATCAGATTTTCTTTACTGAGTGATAAAGTGGCCTGGTGTGTGTGTGTGCATATCCACAAGAGACCACTGCTGTTTAGGAAATACTATACATGGTTTTTTTAACTGGAAGATTTAGTCAAGATCCCTCAGCTCTCACCTGTTTCGGCATTAGGATCAACTGACATTTACTGCTATTTCGATGGCTCCACTTAAAGGGTCAGTAACAACTTTACCACTAAGTGTAAATCCGCATATATACTGAAAAAAAATCTATAGAGTTCTTCCATTTAGGGAGCTCTGCTAAAAAGCAGCATAATGGCATAACCATGTCAGTTCTCAGATATCCAGATTATGCAATTTTAAGGACAAATCTAATGGAGAACTACAGAGTGCATTTTTATACATATCTATTTTTAAAAAGTCTGCTAGAGTGTGTGAACTGATTGTGCATTTGCCCCTCCCTCCCTTTTTTTTTTTACAAAGATCATGGAAAAAGCAGACTGTACAATAATCTCTGAAATTAATATAACTATTCTCAAGGGTTATTTTTATAATTTACCATGACTTTTTTTCCCTGGTAAGCACATGCTGTTTAAAGAACAATGAGAATTGATGTGAAATGTCACTCACACAGCTGATCAAGAACAGTTTTGCAAGGTGACGCATACGGGACATAACAAATGACAAAAGTAAGGTCAAGTTATATGAATCTTATACATACATAATTCTATATAATGTACTGTTTTTAGCCATAATTTACATACTGAGCTATCCCGTCTCTCCAGGCTTTTGGAATACTGTAACTCAGTTCAGGACACAGAAATGGAATGAGCAGCCACATAGGTCTCCAGTCCTTGCAGGCTGACCTCCACTACATTAGCGCTCACTCTTCCTGCTGTTCTAGCCCTGGAGACCGGTCGTCTGGAGAGCCAGCCCTGTCTGGAGCTCTTACTAGTCCTTTCACAGCCCATTGTACCACTGAGGCTTAAGGAATAAAAAAGAGAAGAAAAGGAAAGTACTTGGGGTTGTACTTTATTCATTAAACAAATATTTACTGAGCATCTATTATATTAGGCACTGAGATATGGCAGTGAATATTACAAGTCCAGCAGAGTGTGGGCTGGTGGAGAAAATTAGCTACAAACAAGTAAACAAACACACACATAACCTAAACTTGCCTTAGAATGTAGTGATATAAAACTGAAAAACTGTACTACTCTCTAAATATTTTCCCATCCATCCATCTTCCCACCCACTCACTGACCCATCCATCCATCTAAAACGTTGACTCTTTTCTTGATTATAAAACTAGAAAATAAAAAACTCATAAAATAAAGAAAAAAACTCCTCTATCCAGAGGCATACTTTCATTACTATTTCAGTTAATTTTCTTCAAACCATTTGACCTTCATCTAAATTTTTATCTACCTGAGGAAATATTTGGGGTGGCCAGACGGTCATTATTTCAGTACCCAGAACTCAAAGGTTCTAGGAATCATCATACACATGAAGCTCCAAAGAATTTTTGCCATAACGCAAGTTGCAATGATTATCTACTTACTTCTAGATATCTGATTAAGAGGATGATATAATACCTATTTGAATAACAAAGCTTAATGTTGTAACAAATACAGAGTTATTCACCCAAGCAATAGTTTTAATTATGTGTACAAGTGGTAGCTCTCAGACTGAAAAAAAAAAATTGGGGTGGGGGTAACACTCTTATCTCCACCCCCACCTTTTAAAATAAATTAAATCAATAACAAGTGTGGGACACTTTTAATGACCTGAACTACTTAATTTCCAGGATCTTTAGACATGTCATCCATCACTGCAGTATGGAGGAAGACATCTCTTGAGTGTTCAGGGGGTTACTTTGGTTTTATTAATGCAAGATTTAGGGAATTTTAACAAGGTGAATTGTTTATTTGCCTTGACAGATTGGCTTACAAGGCACCGGCTACATCTACAGCATGATCATTAATGACAAAAGACAGGCAAAAAGCTGTTTACACTGCAACACCAGGACAAGAATTAATCCTGCTCAGCCTCTCACACGGAGTATTCAAATAGATGATTACATTGTTTAGGTAAGACATACTGACAAAAAAAGAAATATGGAAAACTCCAGAAATCTGTGAGCACTGTTGTTAAATGTTCACTGAATATTCTCAAATAATATTTTCTGTAAAGCCATGACCAATATGGATTTCAGGATTTACAGTTATAAAGAAAGCCCCTTCAGGGAGTTAGGTTAAGCATTTAGTTCTACGGTGGGAGTATTTTCTAAACCCTGCTAAGAAGGCTTCTAAGAAAATAATTAATACTTAGGCACAGAGATAGAGGGTAATATAGTAGAACTTGCCTAATTTAATAAAGTATGTACAAGTGACATGACTGTTATTAGTTAGCCCAGAGATGCAAAAGAGAAATTAAATTAGTTCAACCAAATCTTTTGGCTCATAAACACATGATTTCATTCCATGAGAGACCCAACAGTGAAGTGGGGCCTCACACCTGTTCCATTCACATCTTCTTCAGCTTCTTGAAAAGCTTTTGCTCAAGGAGAACTCCTTCTTGAAGCTGCACCCTGGGCCATCCCACATGCTTGGGACCCTAGTCTGGTTTAAATCACCCAACTTTATTCAATAGATAAGCTATTTTAAAAATGTACATAAATGACATTTTTTAATATCAAATCATATTTCTCCATGGTTTTAGCTTGCTTATCTTTAGTTTTGATTAATCTTCAATGTTTGCCATTTTCATTCTTTCGCGAGGCAGCGTAGAAGGAAGAATATGGCTTTAGAGCAAGACCTGGGTTCGAACACCTCCTTTGCCTACCTTAAAGGGTTACTGTGAGGATTAGATGATGTCTTCAAGAGTCTCTGGCACAAAATTAGCATTCGATAAATGTTAATTCTGTTTCCTTTGAATCTTATTGTTGTATCAATTCCCAACAATCTATTTTATTGGTTTTGGAAGTCTGGATTACTGTCCATCTAGCGAACAGAGCTTCTTAGCCCTCTATGATTCATGGATCCCTCTGAAAATCGGATGAGAGCTGAGAATCTTGCTTGCTAAAAAACACACATACATAGATAACTGTGCCAGCCGTGGCAGGGGGTTCACAGGCCCCTGACAGCCGAGCTAAGGATGCCCGTTTTTGGCTCCGATGTGGCAGTTACGCTGCTGGGCACACTCTTCGTTTGGCCTGACGCCTGAAGCACTGCTGGGCCTGTGCTGTGCGCCGGCTCCCCAAAGGCCGCGCTGGCCTCTTGCTTCAGTTCTCCACCTCTTTGTCAATTAGAACCCCGCTGGAGCGTGGGCCGCCCTGCTACTGGCATTCATTAGTGCTTTCAGCTCTGGGCTGTGGCTGAAAATATTTGCCTGCCAGTGAGGCTACCCTGGTGAAGGTTTCTTTCTGATCAACCAATATCTACTGCTGGACCAAATTAAGAAAGTAGTTCATATTCATGGCTTTTGTATCTTCTATATGGAACTCCAGAATTCACCAACCTATGGTATTGAGGGTTCCCATTACTGCTGGCTCAGAGGACAGCTGATGAGGCACTATATGCCACACGTGTTAGGGGCATTTTGAACCACTAGGCAGCGATGGGTCACAGGTCTAGTGCTATCAAGCTGATTAACTAATAACTCTGATGGCAGAGTTCTGACACGGATGTAAGTTGGAATGCATGGTTGGGAAACTAATTTATGCATTAAAACTTCATAATTCAAAATGAACATAAGTTGGAGAAAAAGTTGGAAATAAATCCCAATAAATTAACTTTTACAGGTATAAGTACCAAGTCAAATATTATAAGAGGCAGAATTAATTATCCAGATGCAAGATGGAGAGTAGTGTTTGTGTACAAGTGCTGTTGGTCTCAAGTGGTAGGTCAGCAAGAAGTGCTGCTCCATAAAGTGTCAAATGAGCTGAGGAATCCTCTTACTCCACTTAACGGAACATTATCTAGCCCCCAAAGAAAGAGAAATAAGAATAAACTTAGGAAGAGCTAGAGGCAAGCAATGAAAATAACTAAAAGATTCAAGATAGTTTCCACAAGAAGAGGTCACCCGATAGTGGGTACCAAGCATGGAATGAGGCAGTAGAGGGCCAAGGAGATAATGTGGTCTTTAAGTTAACCAACCATTCTGTGAAGGAGGGTGGCGATTTTCAAAGTTGCTGGAACAAGAAGAAAGTACTGTCCAAACCAGCAGAGAAGGAGTCTTTCTCTAACTGAAGCCTGTGCAATAAAACCAGCAAAACTAGGAGCCAGCCTGGTGGCCTAGTGGTTAAGTGTGCACAATCTGCTGTGGCAGCCTGGGGTTTGCAGGTTCGGATCCCAGGAGCAGACCTATACACTGCTCATCAAGCCATGCTGTGACCGCATCCCCCATACAAAAAATAGAGAAAGACTGCCACAGACGTTAGCTCAGTGTCAATCTTCCTCAAGCAAAAAAGAGGAAGATTGGCAACAGATGTTAGCTCAAGGCCAGTCTTCCTCACACACACACACACAAAACAAACCGACCAACTAGCAAAAGTGGCACATGCATGGGAAGAGTAGGCATAAGAGCGTCTATATAACCTGGGATCTGAAAGTCTTTTAGTTGCTCTTTCATGCACATGCAGATTGGAGAT